GAAGGGCAGCCAAAGAGAAACCATCCGTTTAGAGAGGTGCCCCCGATTGTTGGAGACAAACCTTTGTCTTGGGGAATGAAGGAAATTGTAACAAATATGCTTCCCTGGTATCCAAGTCAGGACTGATTGAGCTTCCAAATTTACAGCGTGATTTGCTTGCGTGCGCTGTCACTCACTTCAGGGAATGCTGCCAACAAAGGCTGCGGAAACTCTGGAGAGTTTGCCAAGGTGGTCTGCACTGGATGCCATTTCTTAAGAGGATTCCAGACTGGGACGCTTGTTATCAAACTTGCATTCCGCATGCACGTTCCGACCTTTGAAGGACACACACACACATACTGTAGTACATACAAAATCCACAACAAGTGCAGTGCAGCAAGAACACCGCAAGAACGAACACTATGCAAATAGCCACATCACACCTGCCACTTCTCACTAGCAACACCGAACCTACAAGCATCATAACCCCTATGCAAAACAACTTAGAGTATCCTATACACAAATAAACAACACCAAGCTATACAATATATACACATACATATGTAGGTCCAAGTCAACAGAACAAGCAAGCCAGGTCATTAAAAAACACCAAGGATCCCAAGGATACCAAACAAACGGCTTCTAACTTGGACCCTGCCGCCGAAGCGCTGCAAAGGCGGCGGGGAGCTGAGTGCCCGTGGAGCTGGGGAGCTCAATGGGAGGCCCGTGCTGAAAGGGGCACAGGTCCCCCTTCCTCGGTGCACGCGAGCAGCCCGGGAGTCGGGACGGACGGTGGCGGCGGCTTGTCGCTTTTTGAGGTTGGACACCCCAAAAATGGATTTCGGTTGTTCCAACCTTGGCTTTTCTTGAAAACAACGTAAAAGGGGGACCCTCAAAATGACGCACCCTTGCAATCTTCTTCAACAGAGTGGCGACTGTTAGTGGTGGGGAGCTCCCAAGGGAGAACCAGGGTTTTTCGCAAATGAAGGCTGCCGGCAATGCAGCTTTCATTTTGGCTTCTTGTTGAGCAACCATCCAACATGTCTCAGGTCTGCGATTGGGAGAATGATGAGAAATCAGTTATCTTTGGCTTTGATTAAGTCACTCACCAAATGCAGGAAGCCATGCCGAAGACCGCTGACTGTGATGACTGATAACTCAAGTCTTCCGCTGAACGTCAAGGGGTGTTGTGTGCAAGGTTGGTGGGATCCTTGCGGGCAGACGACGGGTGCCTCCTTGCTGGCGCTACCTTCACTCTAGATAGGCAGACTTGGGCCAACTTAGTGCTGCCAAAGCTGGATGCCCTGATGTAGATCAGCGGTCATATCTGCAGACAGAGTATTTTAATCTGGAGTATGGCATCATGCCCCCGCTACATTGCATCTAGGGCCCTGGTTCTGTCCCGGCCAAAACAAAACATGTTTGGAAGAGTATCAGAAGTGGAAACATCGACCTTTTTAACTGTTTCTTTCGAGAAGCAGCATCTTTCGAATCAAGGGTTGTTCCAATTCTGCACCATTTCAATCTCACATATTGCCGGAGAAGGTCCATGATTTGTCGGTATATGATAAATGCGGTGCAAACATTGCACAAAAACAACCTTATTGTCGCCATTGTCTTGGTCAAGTCAGGAACAACCATCTGGTAGTACTTCACCGGCCCACGACGATGGACCCCCAAAACCCCTTTCCCCAGGTCGAATCCGTCAATCAGAATCGGGTCAGAAACACTGGAACACCCAACGCCAAGCCATCTGCCAAGGTCGCGGCAGGCAACGGTTCTGCGCGAAGAACTTACACATAGTGGTGCTAGGTCCACTTGGCGCTGAAGTCACCTGAAGACTCCACCCTCCCTGTGAAGCCAAGAGGAGCAAACTAAAAAGCACTTGGCAACACAATGCCTCTTCACTGACAACATGCAGAAGGAGTGTAGTTTGTGCAAACGCCCATGTAGCAGGAACATGCTGCTCAAAAGCGTGGCAAAGGCGGATGGTGAACACTTTACATCCCCCAAAGCTCCTTGACCTTGCTTCCCAATGATGACTCAACTCATGTCAGGTCAGGCTGCATGACTGGGCATGCATCCTTACAGCTTCCCACCATCTCGAAGCCTTGCCCCTCACGCCAGCTGAAACCATCACCCAGCTCAGCCCACCCCCCATGCTGAGGCAAGAACCGTCGGAAAGGACGGGAACCTCAGCATGACTTGGCCCGGCACTGGGATGGTCCCTTCAGAAGCCATGCCCTACAAGCGGAACACACCCCACAGCCCAATGCCCACTAAGGCAGATGTAAGAAATGGTCTCTCAGCATCCGGTAAGCAAGGGCTTAATCACATACACACTCTTGAAACTATTGTCCACGCTTGTAAATGCGCAAGGGACAACAGCACGTTCCCTTAGACCAACCGTTCAAAGCTGTCACTGATAAAACCAATCCTCCCCAAGGCATTGATCATGTGGCCATAAATTTCCATTGGGGACCCCGTGTGGACTTCATTTTGTCGGGGCTTCATGTCCACCAGCCACTTTAGAGGTGGCTCCCTATTGAAGTTCATAGCCATGTCGACATTGTTGGAAACACCTGGGGCGCCCCAGCGATCCAAAGCCACCCTGGGCTAGCGCCACACTCGCAAAATCCGCAGGACAATCTACGGGTGAACTTGGCAAAAAATCTACAGAGAAACTGCAGCTGGGCATTTGACTAGCTTCCTGCACATGTTCCAGTTGGTTTCTCAGATACATGCCTGCTACGAAAGCTTGCCATACAGTTCAGGGTCGGTTTAGGTGACAGCCCACCGCTGGTCATGGGAAAAGTCCTCACCAACGAACCAACAACAATAAGCCCTTCTGCAAAACCTGCCTTTGCTTTGATACGGGGTGGCATGATGCCCAATGTGTTGACATACGAGGAAAGCAGCTTCCGTTCGCATCCCTCCCTGCCAGCTTCATTCTATGCCTAGGCACATGCATTCGTACACATGCTCCAGTCAGACAAAAGCTTATGTTTCTTGCATGACTGTTTGGAACAAACACTATCAAATTAACAAGTGCGTTTGTGTGGCAGGCATGGGACGATCCATTATCACACAGTTCTAAATTTATAATAATAGAAGGCTTCCCGGGTCCAACATGGACCCGCGCACCTCCGTAGGATTCTGGGAGGAAAGGGTTGAAATCGCGCTGACCTTCCAGAAGCACAACTTTCTGCCAGCGAATGCACAAACAATCACACCACAAAGCAAACACGCAAACGCAAAGGTCCAACATAGCTCAATGGAGCCACACTCCCGCAGAGATCACCCAGCATGTCAAAACTCGCCCGTTTTCCTTGAAGAGCTGTTGTTCAAGGCCAGGACATCCTTGAACCACCCAACATGGGATCCACCAGACCAAACACTTCCACAAGAAACGGTCTTCTAGGGACTTCCAATCAGGCACTGGGCAGACTGACTGCACTCCGAAGATATGACCCATGGGCATGGAATGCGCACCAGTCTGACAAATGTTGGAATGCCATTCAAACAGTGGGGGCATCGACGTGTTCCTGCTCGAAGATCTTGGAGCAACGGTCTGAATATCTTGGCCTCCTACACTGCCATAGAGCATCTGCAGTTGCTCAATGCTGCATCTGATCTATCTCAAATCCTTGTTTCTATCTAGCAGGTTGAATGGCAACTTGCTGGGACCTCAACACTCGGCTCAACATTGGCGGTTCCCCGATATGCTACCAACCCGTTCCGAAACTCCAAAACGGGCCGACCAAACAAACTACTTGACCACCCCCATCGCCCCGCCTGCATGCCGTTGTCCCAGCCAGAGTCCCACTGCTCCCAGAAGTTCCAGGCAGCGTCCCAGGTGGCGTCCCAATCCGGCGGAGCCCAGGCGGGATCCCAGGCCTCCTGCGCCTGGCGGTCCAAACGGCCCCTCGACGTTCCATCTGTCGGTCGAGGCAATAGGGCCTGGGCTGTGCACGATGGCAACTCAAGTCTAAGATAAAACAAACACAGACTCAAAACCATGCAAACAAATCACTTGAGCAGCCTCAATTCGTGGGTGTGAATGATCCAACTACAGTAGCAGTCTCCAATCGCTCAGGTTCAGACGTCGGTTCAAGCGAGACGACGCCGATGCAAACGGGGGGGCATGCTTTCTCCATAGAAGTATTCCAAGAATTCATCCCCATTCCTTTCAACCATCCTTCTTTTCAATAACCCAGCTGTTTCCATGGTGCTCCGGAGGAATGAACACTGAAAATACTAAGGAAGTTACTGCTAGAAACAGTCCCAAACATGGTGGTGTCACCAACGTGTTGGTGTCTTCTGGCTCTGGCTCTTGCAGCTAACAAGCCGCTCTATGGCGGCTCCAGTTCACAGAAAAGCTGCCAATCACCCGACGAATCATGATATCCTCATTCCGGCCTGCCACTGCTGGTCAGGCCACATTGGCTCCTCCGACGGCATGGCCGCCTCCGGGAACGCCTCAGGGCCGAGGGCAAGCGGCAGCGCCCCTTTTCGTCGGCTTGCAACGCATTTGGGTGTGGGTCAAAATTCAACCAACAGGGCACGCCAGCCGCAGATTTTACTCCTTGTTTCCATTTACCAGGGTTCCCTTTTGGGTACCTATTTTTGACCCACGCCGATTTCTCCCAGCCTCGAACGCCTGGACCGGCGCCACATGTGCCGGCTCGGTGAACACCGACGCCGCTGGCTGCGGGAGTTGCGTGGGGGAGGCGACGCCGGGCGCCGAGTCGGACCAGGCCTGGGCCGTGGCCGAGGTTTGTGCCTCCTCAAAACAAACAAAGCGCACGTGCAGAATTTGCATCAAGGTTTCAGCTACGTCTTGAAGGCAACGACATCGCAGTCAAGGCAATTGTCGAGCACTTTGCTAACACCTGTGATACACTGATACACCTTTTGCGACCATGATGCTCCAAGGTCAGGACCACGTGAAAAGCCCTTTTGTACCGCAGCAGAAGCCAAGAGTTGCAGCAAACGATACGATTCGAGATCCCAGAGACCAGCCACAGCATCTGGAACATGCCTTGGCTCAATGTGTTCTACCATCTGAAATGACACATCGAGATCAAATCTGCGTGCTTTTTGGGATGAGGAGGAAGGTGGAGGCAAGGGATTTGAACAGGATGAAGAGCAAAGGCCCAAGGGAGACAAGCACTATGTTACAGTTGTGTTTGGAAGATTGTCCTACAAAACAGGGAAAAAGCCAGAAGGTGAGGGGCAGTCCAGCATGTTGAACAGGTCTCGCTACAAAAACCACGTACGCACGGCATATCGCTGTGGCTGCGCTGGGTGTCATATTGCCTGAGCTCAAAGACAGTCTGACAGCTTCAAAGGTTCAGCAGATCTGTCCGGCCGCACAGGTCCGACAACGCAACTCGTCTGCTCCAGAAACTTAGACCAGGCAAATCTGCAATGAGTGCTTTCTGCAACTTCGAGCCGTAGAGAATAAGTTCACTGACAAGAACCTCATCTAGGATTTGTGAAGAAGCTTTATCCATAGGTGCTTGAGAGCTGCCGCAGCATCCCGCTGAACTACATGCTGGGCAACGCTTGCCCCGCCCCGTCGTTGTGGCACCATCTGGTGAAACATATGTGGGTGTTAAGCATCCAACAACGCGTTTCCACCAAGCTGTCATACAACACAGAACCAAACCAACTAGTTCAGCGCATACAGTATGGTATTGCAGAAGAACACAACCTCTCAACGAACATTACAAACACGACACATGAAACACACACACAAACAAACAAACACAAACAAACAAACACAAACACACGCGACATAACACGTAACACATGACATCTTGTAATTGTGTAACAACCGCAGGATTCCATGGCTACTGTGATCCATTCAGGCCAAGCCACATACAGCACGCAACCATCCACTCTTACACACTAGGGTCACCATTTGAGCTGAGCTGACGAGTCATTGCACCGAGGCAGCGCTCGCAGCCTCTATTGCTCATGGCTTCAGGCTCGATGCGATCTTCAGCCATGTGCAAGCCCAAGCACTACCTGGGGGCTTGTCCAAAGGGAGTCTTTTTGGTAGCCCCGTTAAATTAAAAGGGCGGGCCCGACAAGTTGCCATATCTTGGACAACCAGCTCACTCACTTTTCGCATTCGGGCGAAACTCATTTGCCGAAAAGTCGGCCCACATCCTTCACTGTGAGGCTGGCAAGCCCCAGAAGCACCAGAAGGATAAAGGCCAACCTGAGCGAAGGCGACCGACGGCGCATGGCAAGTTGCTCAACCGGGTCAGACACTTTGAAGCATGCGGGAAACTGGACGGAAATGCATACACTCTCCAGGGTGAATGAGCTGGAAGGTGGCCACGTTGACTGCAAGAAAGCAAAATTGAGCCGTTTCCTACTAAAAGCTTGAACAAATCTTTCTCAGGAACTCTGAGGATGAAAGGGCCACATTGTCAGCCTTGAGTTCCCACTTGGAATCCAGAACTATTGAGATGCAGAGGCGTTCCCCTCTCAAAGGTTGCAACAGAAGCAAACACCATGGCGAGCAATCCTTAATGGTCCGCTTATCACCTTGTAAACAGGGGTGCCTACACCTAGTAAGATGCACATCTTTATTGCAACCTCAGCGAGTCAACACATGTTGGCAAGGCGCTCCACATCCTGCTTCTTGCTCTCATCCAGGCGCCTTCCCAAGACCTGTCAATCAAAGCCAACCAGTCAACAGCTTTCCATCCCGCTGCTTGGATGGTATGACCATCCACCAGGAAGCCACTTGTCACTTAGACGAAACGAGCTGGAGCCTCGTGGACTGGATGGCTTGCTTCGGTGATTCACCAAGCAACGCGCAGCACGGCACCGCAAGCAGTCGAAGGGCGCCCGAACGGCCGGAACAAGCCCAACGGACATAGCAACGGTCGCGTGGCAAGCTCGGCCAAGTGACCTGCTCGGCCACAACGAAGAGAGCTTTGCCGCCGTCCAAGGCAGGCAGGGGCAGTGCGTTGATGAACGCCTTGAGCAAAAGCCGAGCGATTGCCAAGCAACACGTGCTCATGGCCTGATGCTCAGAAATGCAACCATCAAAGCATTCGGAGATGCAGCCTGCTGTGATGCACATCCAGCCAAGCTCCGCGCCAAGTTGAGATTGACCGTGATCTAAGCTGAGTCGGATGTGACAAACACAGCCGCCACAGAATTATAGAAACTCATGGGGCTTCGACAAATCCGATACCGACTGTGTGTCACATGTACAAAGCACCTTTCTCTGACTTACTAGCCCTTTCAAGCAAAGGTACCATGCGAAAAAGGTTAGAACTCTCCGTGCCAAGCTGGTCTCCCATAAAACACTGAAGGCGTGCTCTTGCGACAAATCAAATCATCACTCCTGCGGTGGGTGGGTCCCGAAGACTTACGTGAGTCTTGCAATCTCAAGCATGCAGGCGTTGATGGAAAGTATGATGCTCAAGTGCATCTCAACTCCAGGATGATTCTTTCACCCAAAGCTGTTATCAAACCAGTCAGGACAGGCATTCGGATAGGAGCGGCTGGGGCAAGTTGCATAAGGAAAACCTCGCCATTCCTTTGCCAAGCCACGAAGAAGATGAAGACGCCCACAAGGCCCTCTGAGGCAACCAACTCCTCGCCCTGCTGCACAATACCCACAGGGCCTGGAAGTGAAGATCAACGAATCGCCTCACAAAGCCCTGGCAATCTATTTTAGGATACTATTGACTGAATTGGCTGTTTTTGAAGCAGTATTGAGTCAAGAACAAAGCCTGTCAAATGACAGAACTTCCATCTGTGAGGCTACCTTGCACCCCAGCCCCCCTGCCTCTTAGATCCGGGGAATCGCGCGTCACAACTTCGCTTGAGCGCTTGAGAAACATACGCATGTGCCAGGATGACAAGTAATAGCACTAACATCATGGTGGACAGTGGACATTGCCATGTCCCCTGATTGCACGGCAAACTGCGCGGTCTCTTGGATGGCCGTCACTGGCAAGTGCCGAGCAATCAACTTATGTGGCAAACCAACACTCAGTCACGGTCAAGGTCTCACAGCCATGCGATCGCGACGTCGCAAGCCTAGAACTTCGGCGGAGCCCACACCAGTGAAGATGCCTTGGAGTGCACGGCATCAGAAAACCGCCCTAAGCTTCAAGCTCGTGGTCCGGTCGAGTTGGAGCTTCGAAGTTCGCTTCAATCCCACGCCCCATCCGAACATTCAGCAAATCATACCCCCCCCCAAAAAAAAAAACAACAGAACGACCCTGAAAGCCCAAACACCCCGATTCATTTAAGCCCGGCTTCCCTGAAGGGCTCGCCATTGCTCATCCACCAGCCTCAGAAGCACATCCTCAGAGCGCAAAGCATAGTCTCAGGGTCAAAAAACTTGGGATCAATTCGTGCTGATGGCATGTTGCCTTCATCCAGGTCTCTTTACCTGGTCCACCAACCATTTGACCACTCAGTGGACGTTGCAGTTTTGCAGAGATCCACTAGTCCGAACCGATCAGGGTGATCCGAAGTTTGTTTTGGGGTGACCCGAATAGCCCATCGCTTGTGCCACTAGACGCAACCGTCGCAAACCAACCCACCCCACTGACGTCAGGCGGCGGTGGCGACTCCGGCTGCCTCCTCAGCAAGGTCTTTGGACGGGTTGCACAAGTCTAATGCACTTTGCTTCAGGATGGCTGTGCATTCAACACGCGCAAGCTGAACACTGGCCCTACATTGCGACTCCGGCCCCACATTGCGACTCCTGTCTCCTTCAGGCATGACCCAAGAGTCTTGTGCTAGTGGTGCTCGCAACCGGTCCAAAATAAAACATTAGACATTGGCCAGGCTCGGCATCTGTGAGACGGGTAGCACGACACAACAAGTCGCAAAACCAGCGTTCAACTCATGCAGACGCGGCTCATTGGCACAATGCAGTCAGAAATAACAGCTGAGTACTCAGCTGTCTACAAACAAGCAAACAAACAAGCGTAAAAAATCTAGTATGATTTTGCCCCGAGATGCCCGCTGCGTATCCCAACAGCCAATGCTTGAAATCACGGGTGGAGTGAGCTGCCCGGTGTGCTGTGTTGCGTTATCATATTGATGGGACAACCTGATGTGTTTTGAACAAGAGATATCTTATACCGACCGCCAGGGTTGGCATCATTTCTGCTTTCTTCCGCCAACATCCGCCACAAGAAGATCCTCACATGCACACACACACACATTGTATATATATATATATAACTATAGACTATACATATATATATATATATCATATTCTGGCTAGTCACCAGGCTAGACTGACAAGAATCACAGCCATATCACAGCTACAATCCGAGTTCAATTTAAAGGTCGCGCTAAAGCACAACCAAATCAACACACAAATAGCAACACGATTGGCAGATGCTCGCATGCAAGTTCCTTGCTCCATGAGTTCAACCTGGCTGCGTTGAGACCAACTGCTTTGGCGATCATCTTCTCCGAGTTGGCATCAATCATGACACCCAGCCGTTGGAGCCTTGGTGACCCGCCCCTTGCCCAACTAAACATCCAGCTACTTCGGCCTGCTGTGATGTGTGCTCAATTCTTCTGACCACCCTGCAATGACTACTATTTGGCTAGATGTGCTCTTCAGCAGCTCCGAGATACGTAACCACTGAAAACAACGTAATTTTTGCAACCGTAGCAAAACACAGACACAACAATAATAATTCAACACAAGAACAACGTGCAGTGCGGATTGAATGCTTTTGCTTCAGCACAACATCT